AATTAAAAGAACAATAAATTCTGTTAATACATCTCTCCTATTAATTTAATATCACAATAAAATATAATTATTAGTTATTTACATAACATTTATTTTTATTTTCAAAAACCATGTTAAAACATTTATAAAAATAAATAAAATAAATTGGTTATTAATTTCATTACTCTTGTTGGTTATTGTTTGTATTTATTTGATTAATCTACCAAATTATTTATTGTACTTGTAATTGATTATTTATTTTGTTTTGATTATTATGCATTTGATTTATATTCTGATTATTTTAACATTTCATCAATCAATTTAATGAAAAAGTGAATTAAAGTGATAATTAAGAATTCACATGTGTTTTTATGATTAAAAATACTATACAAAAATTTACTAAATGAGAATATTTCATATAGAATGTAATAAAAATCAAATAAAAGAATGAGAAGTATTGAATATTAAACATGAAAAATAGTAAAATAATAAACAGAAAAGAAATAAATGATTATTTAGAACAAGAAGAATAATGATAAATAATGATGAAATTTAATATTGAATAAAAACAAGAGTATAATTAATACAATAATAAGAAATAATAAAATAAATTATAATCATAAGTACAATAAATATCTATTCAACACTTTAATAATTAATGAAAAATAGAAGAAATAACAATAATAGCAAATATACAAGTAAATAAAGAATTAAAATAATAATGAAATAATTATTATAAACATTAAAACTATATAAAATAATTGAATAATGAGAAGATGTTATCATCTAAACATACTTTAAATAATTTAAATTAAACATTCATAAAATAAACAATTAATTCATCATTTTTCTATTTCAAAAAAATAAAAATCATTTTATATATTCAATTAAATTTCAATTATCTAGTGTTATCTGATTGTTTTTAATTGAGATTAAAACTTAAATCACTCTCTTTTAATGATTTTTTAAGTTATTGATTTTGTTAACAAGACTTTTTATAAAACAACACCAAATAAGAAAATAACCAACTGAGGTTATAACGTGTACTATAAAACAAATTATTCTTACACAGTGATACCACCAACACTCAATAAAACAACAACAACTTTTATTATTTTCCTTTTTTTTCTAATTTTCTCTTTTTCAATTTTT